AGAAAGAAATAGAGGGCTTTGAATTCTTATACAAATCTTCTAATTTCCCTTCATCTTGCCCTAATTACCCATGATGCAACTATGAGCGTGAACTCCTCTATTCCACGAAAGGAGTTTGTAGGAAGTATTCTGCGCAAAAATTGGTACTGAAAGTTAATGAGGGTCGTACTTCTAGTGCATATAGATGTTTAAGTTTAAGCTGACTTGGCTAATTAAAGTTAATCCACGGCATTCCCAAGAGCTGAGAAGATTTCTTATGTTATTAGGCCACTTTGATCTTGTACAATTCAATTTAAACGCGAAATTTTGATCAGAAGAAATCCAAAAGCCAAGTGCTTTGACTTTATTTTCTGGTTATTTAAATTTCTTCTCAGGGAGTGAACCATTTTGATTGAGTTTTCTAAATGATGAAGAGATAAATCAAGTTGTCGAATATTACGCCTGGAATACAGTCAGAAAGGGGTAAGGTGGTCTGTAATTAAGGTCGGTAGAATAAAATTTGGAAAATAGTAGATCTGACTTTTCTTGTATTATTGCTATCGTTGGTCGTTGTGTAGACACTGGACTGAAGCTCATAGAGGATGCGATTTATCAGGTTTATAAAAAGTCTTCCTTAAAATACTCATTCGAGCCAATCCCTCTTCCCAACCTCAGAAACGTTTTTATCAGCGTTTTTTACCTGGCTGAGCCAGGAGAAATGGAAGACCACGCCCTAAGTATTCGACATATTACTCCTGACAATGAACAAGACATCAAGCATTATCGATTCACTTGATCTGAAATAATCTGAGGGAAAACTTCATGTATACAAAATGTTACCCAAAAGGGGAAAACTATATACTGTTTTGACTTGTATGTTTTTTTGTTTCCAATTCACACCACGTGATGTTCTCAAACGAATTTACCTTTTTGTCTTCTTACTTATTTTGCATAAATAAGACACATACTTCATCTGCTGTACCTATTTGTCTGGGATAACTTTGGTACAAAGGCGACGCCAGATAGCTGACCATAAACTAACTAATAGACGGCCGGGGCGTCTATTTATTTCACAAACATCAGCATGGGCGTTTGATAGATAGGAGGTATTTATTCTAATAATTTGACAAACTCGACAAAATCCATATCGTTTTTTAAAGCTAAACCTCGATGTCACAATCCATTTTTTAAACCTGGCATTGAACAAGATGCATAGCGCAAACTCAAAATGAACTTAAATTGAACGATTTTGCCTCACCTGAGATGACGATCAGCCTCTATTTTCGTTTTGCTTCATAAATGAAATTCTATTGCCTGTATTTATCAGCTGTTTAATTTCCATTCTTTTAGACTCAAATTTATCTCATCGCGTTTAGGAGGTAATTTGATTGATTTTTACAATTAAGGAAGAATTTTATATTATCATTTTAATGTAATTGCGGCCCGCACGGGGTAGCTACCTATGTTTGTCTTGAAAGCGTCTGAGAACTCGATTTGTCGGGTAGTTTGTTTAGCATTCTCGTCCCCAGAGCCTCCAGACCATGCCATGTGATATCCTAAAGTGAAATACAATAGATTATTTACTACTGCTCCAACCCTTGATCTTTCACAATGGGGCGTACTTCACTTCCAATATGGAACCTCTAGTTTAAGTGATTATTAAACTGATCCTCATGCCTGCGTTTTAGTTGCAATGAAGACAATAAACTGAATCGCTTTGACGTTCCCACTTCATAAATCGAGTTCGAACAGGGCCCATATTCGGATAGCACCTATATAACTGAAGTGAATACCATGTATTGCTGGTTTACACATGACATCACCAAAGATTAAACTAGAAAACTAACGATCTTACTGAGTTTTTACTTTTGTGAAGTTTTAGAGCAGCAGAAAACTATGCAAATTTTCACGTCCAAAGGTTTTGTCGTTTTGTGATAGAGTAGGCTTGAATTTCTGGGCTTTTAGGTGGCGCGGCAGGCATGACGGCCGAGAGAGCTGTCTTGTGGCTTATTGGGGATCTTGGTATCTGAACAGTTCTTGTCAGTTAGATTCATGGAGAGATGATCATGAACTTACGCTTTCGTAGCAAAACTCAGTGCATGACCGTTTGTTGGTTTAGATAGGTTTACGCCCGGTCAAGAGAGCACCAACATGGGGTCTCCATACAAATCTCTATAAATAGGGTAAAACATTTCTCCGGATATCTCGCATATGAAAAAATTCCATCTACCTGCCTTGACAAGGGTCTTAGCGTTGACCCATAATAGATCTCGAATAAGTAGTTTGAACATGATCGTCGGGGTGAACGTAGTCCTGAATAGGACTGTTGTTGACAGTGACTGACGTTTCCACAACCTTAACTGATTCTAGTTACTCTCAATATCTACAATTCCTGTCTGGAAAACGTGAAGAAAGTCCTAAATATTTCTGGTCTTCCTATTCCATGTAGTGAAAAGCCAAGAGAATTCCAGAGACTGTCGTTTATGGCAACGTCCACCAGGGGCACCCAGTGACTTTTTTCTGTAAAATAATTAACTGTTCGAAGGAGCAAATATTGCCTAGAAATTTCTAAAAACTTGAGAAAAGCCAAAAATTTCTGGATAACCCTTCTATTCGTCTAAAATATTCGGAGGTTTCTAATAGCTTAACTATGATTTTCGGAGGTTGTGTTTTTCACATTTTAATACAGATACTGCGATAATTGTTAGAAAAAGGTCTCCTAAAACTTTTGGTATAAAGACAAAACGTTCACTATATTTTTCTAATGAAAACAAGGCTAATTCATGTCCTCAAACTTTCGACCGGACCCATAAGGGTAGCTAACACTTTCCGATGAGACGAAAAAACCACCTGAAACTTTCGTGACGACCTAAGTTCCCCTAAGACATCCAAACAGATGAATAGTTTTCAGGGAAACTCCAAATTAACCGAACGGGCTTTCAAAGCATAGAGAAAACCATCTGAGACACTTCTGGCGTATTTAATTTGGAAACATTCGGTCTTTGGGAGCCCTTGGTCCACTCAACAGCCTCGTCTTCTAAAGTGGAACTTTTCAACAAGTTTTTCCAATCGATTTATTCTAAATCTTCTTGATACAAGTAAAGTTCTTGGTGTGGATAATCTACCGATCCGAATTCTAAGAGCTTGTGTAAAAGAACTATCCATACCCTTAGCTCATCTGCTCAATTCATCGTTGAGATCTGATGTAATGCCTACGTTATAGAGATTTGCTAATATCAACCTTGTTCATAAGGGTGGTAACAGAGAAGTTGTTGACAATTATAGATCTATTTCTCTGCAACCCTTACTGCTAAGTACCTGGAGCGTGTAGTATACGATGCTATCTATACACATAAGTCACATCATGATCAGTCAGATCATGTGTGTGGTTTTCTGTAAAATGTCGTTCGTAGTCTGTTGTTGTCGCGGGTGACCAAGCAGTATTGCCATTTTCCTCGATCTTCTTGGTAAACTGTATGTCTGTGTTCTGTCTGTTAAAAGGTTCGTGAAAATCGTCGATTTCGTCTTTGTATACAGCAGTAAAAGTGTAGTCGACGTAGCGCAACCGAAGAGGTAAATAGTTCGCGTATATGTAGCTAGGACTTGTTCCTCGATGTTTTGCAATTTCTGCTACAACAGAAACTGGAGGGCCCATAGCTGTACCGTGTAACTGTTTGTAGTGTTTGCCGTTGTATTGAACTGAGTACGTCGAAGTTAGGCAGAGGTTGAGTTGAATAGTTAGGAGGAACTTCAAATAAATATTGGCCACGTAAAGTTTCAGCCGCATGTCTACTTCCTCTTGTAAAATGCTTCAAGCACCGCGCTTTCACGCCATTTTTCCATTTTAAGTTCTTTGCTCATGTCGAAAACTTCTCTGTAACGTTCGTCTACAGTACTTATTTCCTCGGGGTAATTTCTATACAAAAGCAGTGCTAAATAGGGGTTGATCTCAACCTTCCATCTCACACTTCCCTCGATAATGTTCATGGCAACATGTCTTCCCATCTCCAATACTCTTCGAGCCTCATCAATGTTCCCTCTCTTTTCACAACACATTCCAAAGTTTCTATAAACAGGAAGTACCTCTTTTTGCCCTATCATCTCAATATCGTCAAGAACTTGAATTGCTTTAAGGTAGCTTTCCTCTGCTTTACTAAAATTTTCGATCCTGAGATAGTAATCAGCCAGGTCTTTGCGTGCAAAGGTGGTCAAATAATGTTTTCCGTAGTGAGAAGAACGAAAACGTAAGGCGTTTGTATAGAATTGAAGAGGTTCCTGACGCCTTTCCCCATATTTTGCATTATGGCCCATTTGAGCAATAATTCTACCTATGTCAAAAGCAGAATCATTCATGGTGAGTTCCTTTTCATAAATCGAGATTGCTTGTTTCAGAAGAGGCTGTGCCTGTCCTCTTTCATTACGGTCTTCTGAGAGGTATCTGCCATAGTGGTTAGATGTGGTTAGATGTGGTTAGATGCCATAGATGTCAAAATGCTATTGGATAATAACACGAAGACCTAAAGAGAAAATGAGGAGGGCACCACTTTTCTTCAATCAGATCTTTAATAACAACTCGAACTTTATAATTAGGTCAGGGGAGTCTGACCTTCAATCCGCGACAAAAATTAGTTGAGACACTTAGCCCTAAAGTGTCTCTCTGGGGTTTTGCCAACTTTAAAAGGAGAAAATAAAGCTTTCCCTCCCCACCCCCTCAACACAATATTGTCCCGCTGTTCAAGCTACCTGTAGAAAACAACAAACACCCGAATTTTAATGGATAGAAGAGGGGATGGCAGAGTGCCTCGCCGTACTGAAGATCAGTCCTAGTTTTAATTACATAGCTGACTTACCAGCATTCCCCTAAACAGAAAAGATTGTTGAGGTACGTGATCGCGATCGGTGTTTTGGTTAAAAAGCGGTCAAACATGTGCATAAAACAAGTAACTTATGTGCTATACTTCTACCATTTCACCTACCAGGCGATGGCATCAATTGCCTCTCAATTCTATCCACTGCTGCTACTATACTTTATCTACTTTGGCTTCAACGTCAATCAGCTTGTCCATCACGCTATCTTCGTCCATCTTCCACTTCTTTAGAAGCTTTTTGTAGTGTTCTTCTAGTTCAGGGTCCAAGCAGTAATACTTAAGCCCATCAATAGCTGCTTCATACGCTACTCCACCAAGTCTTACCAGCGTACAGCGGATATTCTTCCAATAATTGTGAAATGTCGCATCGTCAACAGACGCTTGGGCGGAATGACCACACACTTTATTTCTATAGAATTTGATGCGAGCGATGTCAGCCTCACAAGACAAATCTGTAGGCGAAGGAAGGGCATCCCAGCCAGTGGCTGGAGGATTCAGGCCACAAATATTCCTGAGCAGCACCATCAGCAGGGTGATATCAAAGTTTTTGGACGAAACTGAAGATTTGAGGGCAGGATATAGTATATCTCACTGAGAAGGATTCAAGATCTTCTTCTTTTGAAGTGATTGCAGTTTAGGAAGAGCTGGTGGTGTAGCCAAAACTGTTTCAAGGCCTCCTCGAGGATGAATTATATCAAATCTTTCTCGCAGGGCCTGAGAACCAAAATCCACCAGAAGCTGGCATAATCTGGCATAATTAGTGGTCTCTCTTGTAGAAGTAAATGTCGGAGCTGCCGATGCCATTAAAAGAAAGGGGTTTCGTCTATAAGAAAAGCAAGGAGAAATATTAAATTGCCCAAACCATTACAGCATAGATACCACCTCCACTAAGCCAACGGTAAAATGGTCCTGGACCAACCGCTGCCGGATGTAGGTCAAGTGTTCCTTACGCATGCCTTTTAATTTACTTCGCTCCCTTAAAGTAGGCACGCACACGAGGTCAGCTAACGTTGTTAACAACTTCTTTAGTCCTTTTCTCCTTGGTCTTGTGGCTGAGACCTCATTTACACGGGTCCGGACAAATTTTTGAACGGACGAATTTTTTACCTGTACAAACCGTTTACACGAAACCGTGCAAAATCTGTTGCAGATTGCAGTACTGTTGCAGTTCAAAAACTTTTACGCTTCCGTGGGTTTCCTGTAGACGAAAGACAGATCCGTGAAAGTTTTTGGCCTTTCAAACATTTGTCCGGAACCGTGCCTTGTTAAACGGGGACTGAGGAATCATAGAAGTTGCTCGAATTTCCTAGTCTAGAAAATTGTGAATCTTGAATCTCCTATCTCCATATAAGAGTTTTGTCTTTTGATCGTTTATGTTGTACTTCCCTTAGTTCTACCATTAATCCATATTGATTTTTTTCCAGTTTTACTGTTTGTATCTTTTTCTCTGAAAAAGCCTTTTGGGACGAGGAATGTTTGTACTGTATGCAATGAATGTCTGCAGTAGCCCATAAACCGGAGCGAGCAACTACCTTGTGCCCATACAAAGGCTTTTTCAAAGACCAGTTTATTTTTAGATCGATTTTCCCGCCAAATTTGAATATCATATCTTAACAATCAGTGATCAAAAACCGAAGACAAGAAAAACGTATTTCTCATGTTATGGATGGCACGCATACGAAACGGTGCTTCCATTTTCGCCGGAAAAAGTGCTAAAAAAGGATGCCAAAAATAACTTGATCTGAGAAAACGCTGTTGCATAGGCTAATTATGATGGTTGCACGCTCCGGGTTATGGGCTCCCGACTTTTGTAAATTCATGCGATCAGGCCCTGGACCCGGGGGGAGGGGTACTCCCTACAATGGCCTATAAGGAGAGGCTTCGCCCGAAAGGGGTACCTTTTTCAGGCTTCAGGTATATGGAAGGGTAGGGATTTGACTCGTAGAAGTATATGAAAGGGTGGGGATTTGACTCGTAGAAGTATATGAAAGGGTAGGGAAATCTGTCATTTGGGTCTGTGAAAGGGGCCAAAGGGCTAACAGATGAATCTAGACGTTCTATTTTTGAGATGGATCCTATTTAATGGACAGTGCCAGGAGCCAGACAGTGCATTTAAAGCAGTTAAAAGGATGGCATACGAAAGGGGTAACTTTTTCGTAAAAAATGGTACATAAACGGGTAAGGGGTTGGACCTCGGGGCGGAGCCTCGCCGTATAAACATTTGTTGAGTACCCCCACTCCCCCCCCTCCCGGGGCCTTGGGAAGTTTACTGTAACCTAAGACAAAATCCCAAACCTTTAATTTCATATCCTTAAAGGCTGTACTTAAATGAGGGTCTCAATGGGGTTAACCGATAGGCGTAAAACGGCCAAAAATTTAGTCGATAGCCGTAAAAATTGAAAAATTTTAACCGTTAGCCGTAAATAGGGTAAAAAAGAGTTAACCGTAAAAGAAATTGTTACGTAGATTTGCTACTTACTTATGGTTGCGTTTTATACTTCCCGGCTAGTGTGACTCCGTACGCACGTTAGGCAAAGCGCCTTTTAGGTGTTAACCAAGACCTAGGCACACACTAGAGCTAGAAATTGATCATCCGTCTGAGACTAGCCTGATGATAGTCGCGCCCTCCCCACAGACACCCCTTCTCCGATTTTTTTGCGGGGTAGGGGGCGGCTGTACACAGGCTATCTGGAGCGGATAATCCCGTCTTCAAAAGTCAGGCGGATTGTTCATTCAAATTAAAACTATACCATTTTCAGATTTAGACGTATTACCTATCTGACGCGAAACAACAAACGGATAACCCGTCTCACACGAATAATCCTTCTCTAGTGTGAAAACAGCCATTTCTGTTATAATGAATGTCCCCCCCCCCTGCCTTGAGTTGGGCGATTGCGTGTCTGCTTTTGCTTTTTCACGAAGATTATTTTTAAATTGACTATTGACATTTCTATGTGTGAAATAATGTATTAGAAGTGGAATACTTTATAAAAAGTATTCAACCTTTTGATATATAAAATGTTAAAATTTTTCAAAAGAATAGCTTATTTCATCCCGAGATGATCCGAAGACCTTTATTTTGATTTAAAGATATAAAAAAATACGGGTTAATTAATATTTAACTTTTTGAAACAAAAGAAGTTAATTTTTAACTTTTTCGTTAACCGTAACTGAAAAAAATTAACCGATAGCCGTAAAAGAGCCAAAATTTTAGCCGATAACCGTAAAAGCCACCACCCCATTGGGACCCTCTTAAATGCACTCTTTTCGGGCGAAACCTCCCCGTTTAGAGAGCAGGCCCAGTAATGAATCTTGCTTTATTAACAACTAAGCGTAAACAACGTGGTGTTGTACCAATTGACGGTCCCTGGTCACGTCTATGGAGGGGAATACTGGACAAAATGGAATTGAATAAATTTATATCAAACCGCGTGATGCATTACATCGTACCATGTGGTGACATACCCAGCAAAACAACAAACTTCTCGGTGGACAGATATACCATACCCGATACATCGTGTTATTGTATCGGACATTCCCCTACATCGTACCGTATGCTGCTATATCGTGCCTGGTGCTGCCAAATTGTCATCAATGTGCGGCGATAGAGTGCAAGTCATCCCATAAAATTGTTCCCTATGCTGCTATATCGCCTTCAGTGTGCTACATTGTGAGCGGTGTGCCAAGATATGCTAATAGCCATGCCACTACATCGTCCCCTATGCTGCTATATCGTATGCAGTGAAGATTAAAGGTTTAACTGGTCAGCGGCTTAGTTTAAAAAGGCGCGAAACTGCACTCTGTCGTATCACACGGCTTACTGTAGTTTGCGAAACGAAATGGAGCGAAACGAAACGAAACGAAATGGAACGTAACGAAATGAAAATCTGTAGTTTGCGAAATGAAAATCTGTAGTCTGTTGTTTTGCTGGGTATGTCACCACATGGTACGATATAATGCATCACGCGGTTTGATATAAATTTATTCAATTCCATTTTTGTCCAGTATTCCCCTCCATACACGTATGTCGAAAACTTCGCATCTAAAGTTGAAGTGTGAAGTCTCTCAGACGGAAAAAAGGTTCAAGAGTGCGATTATGTTTTCGGGTCGTCGACGACGTTCCAGAGAAGAAAGGAATGGATTTGTGAAAGCAGATGTCGTCAAGTAAGTGTTCGTTTACGTGTATTTGCGGGATTTTTTTTACCCTTAAACCCTTCCACATTTTAACCCAGCCTGCGTTTTACTCTTAGTCTGCAGTCTCCATTTTACACACAGTCTTCATTTTACCCCTGGTCCGCAGTCTGCAGTCCGCAGTCCGCAGTCCGCAGTCTGCGTCTTATACTGACCGCCATGCAAATATCACTACAAGCGCTGAACCATGCCCCGGGGGGGGGCGGGGGGGCACTTGGGTATTTTTTGGGTGGGTATGTGCCACCTGGGACTCCAAATTGGCACCCCGTTCTAGAAAAAATTTCCACTTAAACTGATACCCCGTTCTAGAAATAGGCCAATTTTTTATACCCCGTTCTAGAATTCTCCCTAAAACTAACACCCCGTTCTAGAAATGGGCCAGTTTTTTATACTCCGTTCTAGGGTGCAACAAGAGTACAACGGTTTGCTTGTTAACGCACTGAACCGTATTTTAAAAGCAATCTATCTGTCCTTGAATGCTTTCAAATGGCTGCTTACAAAAGTGGAGAGCTTTCGTGCGTTCGAAATATTATACCCCGTTCTAGAAACCGCGTCTGAAATGGATACCCCGTTCTAAGCAAGGAGCTTCAAAATCACGACCCCTTTGGGCGGCACATACCCGTATAGGTAATGTATGGGAGTACCCCCCCCCCGGGAACCATGCTTCCTGCCGAAATTTTTTGTTGACTGAATAAACCATAAATTAAAGAATTTTCCATTTAAAAATCTGAGTGGAACAAACTTGAAAAAATTGCAAAAATGATACAGACTCTGAGACCGTGAAATTAACCGATTGCGATCGTTTGCGTCCGAATAGTTTGACCCTTCTTACGTCTTCTTTCTGACTCGCAAACGGCCTCAAGTGGCGAGCCCGGGGGGTGGTACTCCCATACATTACCTATACGGGTATGTGCCGCCCAAAGGGGTCGTGATTTTGAAGCTCCTGATTAAGAACGGGGTATCCATTTCAGAGGCGTTTTCTGGAACGGGGTATAATATTTCAAACGCACGAAAGCTCCACTTTTGCAAGCAGCCATTTGAAAGTATTCAAGGACAGATTGCTTTTAAAAATACGGTTCAATGCGTTAACAAGCAAACCGTTGTACTCTTTGTTCCACCCTAGAACGGAGTATAGAAAATTGGCCCATTTCTAGAACGGGGTATCAGTTTTAGGGCGAATTCTAGAACGGGGTATAAAAATTTGGCCCATTTCTAGAACGGGGTATCAATTTTAGGGGAAATTTTTTCTAGAACGGGGTACCAATTTGGAGTCCCGGGCGGCACATACCCACGCCAAAAAAAACCAAGTGCCCCCCCCCCCCCCCCGGGGGGGCCGGCGGGGAAACACAACCAACATGGCACACCGGGGCACCCGGGGAGAAAATTTTTCCTCCCTCCCCCAAAAAGTTTTTAACAAAAGTGTTTTTTCCCCCCAAACCAAAATACCCCAGTTTCCCCGCCCCCCCCCTTTTTTTTAAAATAAAAATTTGTTATAAAAAAAAAAAAATTACAAAATCGCCCCGGGTCCCCCCGTTCCCTGGTTTGTTTTTTATACCGCCCCCCCCCCCCCGGGGGGGGGGGGGGGGGGGCACTTGGTTTTTTTTGGCGTGGGTATGTGCCGCCCGGGAC